TCCAAAAGAGTAAGCTCGAAATCGTACCGCTGTGATCACGGACCCAGGGGGGGCGACCCAAGGTCACGAGATTCGCAGCCCCCAGGGATGCACTCGCCTCCAAGTTACCATCACTACCAAGGGTCTCAGTAGGAGCCACCCCTTGGAATACACTCAGATCAGCGGTGTCCATGCCAAGGGTCTGAGGAGGAGCCACCCCTTCGAATAAGTAGTTGCCATCTGCATCCACGACGATCTTCCCCTCGTCGCTCATGCCAGAGGTCCCAGGAGGGGCCGCCCTCTGGTGTTCAGATGGGCCAAGGGTCTCAGAAGGAGCCACCCCCTGGAATACACTCGCCTCTGTGATGTACATGCCAGGGGTCTCAGAAGGAGCCACCCCCTGGAATAGCCTCCTCCCAGTAGAGAAAGCCGCCGTACCCGAAGTAGATCTGCCCGGCGTCCCCTCTTCGTTGGCCCCCCCCCCCCTGCGCTGCGACCGTGCCCGAGGTGGGCGGGGGCCAGGGATCGGCCGAGGGTGGGCTTGAATCAAATCTGCGAATTGGGTGACCGCTTGGCCGCAAGGGTCTCCTCCATGATGCTCTTGAGCTCCTTCTGCTTGTCGGTGGCCACCTGGTCGACTGTGGCCCATGCTGTCGCCGATCCCTTCGAAGAACCTGGCGTAGCCAATGTCCCTGCATCCGTCGGTGTCGGAGTCGGTGCCGAGCCTCCCGCAGAGCTCCCTTCTGCATTTGGTCGATGACCTTCCCCAGGTGCAGGACTGCTCTTCCGCTTCTTGGTAGCTTGCCAAGATCCGAGCTCCTCCACCTTCTTCAGCTGCTGTTCGGCCAGCGACGCAACCATCTTGCTGAACTGGGCCGAAAGCGCTGTCTTGAACTCTGTTTCGAAGGAGGTCTTGCGCCGCTCAAACTCAACACGATCTACCTCCTCCAGTTCCACGTCCTCGAAGAGGCCCCCGAAGCTAAGGTTGAGTTCCGCACGATTCTCAAGGAATTCGCGTACATCCATCTGCCCAACAGCTGGTCGACTGACAGGTTCTGGTGCAAGCTCCTTGGCAACCGCCTCCTGAGCGACAATGGCGTCTGCCAGGTTCGCCGCCTGCTCCTTGTACTGGCCCATAGCAGAGGCCAGCTCCCGCTCGAGTCTGATAACTCTTGCCGCCACGTCTTCCAGAGCGCCTTCAGCTCGTTCCACTTTCTGCGAAGCCTCCGAGAGCCGAACCGAAGGCGGCTTCGGAGGCGCTGCTGGTGCCTGTGCCAGAGTAGACTGCAAAAGCTTCGCCTGCTCCGCCGCTGCGCCTCCCTTCGCAATCATGAGGCCCAGCGAAGCAGAGATGTCCACCTGATTGGTCTGACCTCCAGCACTTTGAGGCGACCCAGCACCACGACCTTTGAGTGCCGCAGAATCTGCACGTATAGTCACACTTCTCGAGCATGTCGTTGTATGTGAACTTGCTGCACACTTTACACCACGTGACGTCACGGCCGAACTTGGGCTTGGTAACGTTCTGGCTCGAGGAACGATTGGCAGCTGACGACCATGGCTGCGTGTCCAGGTTAGAATATGATCTCGATTTGCTTCCCACAACGGGCCAGTCATC